GTGGTATTTTAGCAAGGCCAGGTTACTAAATTTGAGTTGGAAATATTAGAACTCGCCGTGGCACCTCCAAGAAGGTTTCACGTTCACGCTTCGTATACCTGGAAACCTTTTAAGGTAAACTTAGAGGGAGAAGAGAGGAGATTTTATAATTTCATAGTTTTAAGCGGCCCAAATACCTTAACTCGCTTAGAAAATAACGACCTATAACGAAATGGGCACAGAAATAAAATCTAACATCATTAAATTATTTTTCCTATTTGTATAAAAGCGCGGGGTGAAACCCGCGGGTATAAGCTAGTATTACATATATATGAAAAGTCTCAGCGGATTTTCGGGTAAATTAAAAAAAAAATATATATATATATATGTATATAAATAATTTTAAAAATAAACTCTATTAAAAAACAATTGTTTTTCGAATATACATATATATATATATTATATTATAATATATTTTTTCCAAATATTTACACGGTGGTTATAAAATGTAAAAATTTTATAATTCCGGTGGAGAAACAGAAACTTTTTTGGTTGGCACCCTAATGTATATACATACATATATATCAGGGCTGTTGCGAATATTCGCATTCGCAACCGCGGAGCTTTCGCATTAATTTTAACATTCGCAGTCGCAATAATCCATGCGGAGCTTTTGCGAATGCGAATGTTGTGCAAGTGCACCGATAAAACGTATATCTGGCAAGCAAAATGACAAATTGTAGCCCATAGTTTTTGCCTGTGGTCGTTGGAGTATTTGTGTAACAAAACTGGTCAAAAGTCATATTTATCAACTTTGATATAAATGTCTTTAAACTTATTATTTCTTAAGCTATATAATCAAGCAGTTATACAAGCTCCCGCTTCTAATTGACCTTTGACGTACGTCAAAGAGAACATAGTCCTTTTAAGAATAAATATTCTTTGATTTCTCTTCTTTAAATACCTGCATTTCTTTCTTTATTATGATTTTTTTTTGGACCAATCTTAAAAAAACGACTACACATAAAAGAAGAAAGTGTGCTCTGTAATTTTAAACCAAATTGACGTGATTTGCTCTTGATGTTACATATCGTCACCTGAAATGCAAAAAGACATAAACAAACATCGTCGCTGAAATACAAAAAGTCGTAACTAATAAAAAAATTCAAAATTCACTTTTTGATTGATATGATGGATTTCATCGAATTTCAACTCCCACATTGGTTATGGTGTTGTTACGCCTTTTTGCATTTCAGGTGAAGATATATTCGTTTCAATCATTTCAAATGTCGCTCTTTGGGGAATTTTTTTAAGGAAAAATTTTAAAAACAGTAATTTGGTTTACTTGTCGGGCAATATTTTTTCCATAGATAAATGTGTACATTGGATCCTTGCCTAAAAGGCCTCTGTGGTAAAACTCTCCCCTACGTCGCCCTTCTTTGCTATTTAAAGTGAAAGATTAAGCTCCTACAGTAGGGATTTCCAGCAGAAATCTTCAACATTTAGCTATAAAGACAATCTATGCTGAAATATTTAAAAAGTTATAGGTCCGACCTTTAATTAGGTAAGAATTACGTAACTATCAGAAACCCTCATCATTCGTGATTCCAATAATTGAAATGATTATAAAAAAAGGGGGTGCTTTTAAAAAAAAAAAAATAACAATATTCTGATCCGATTCGGCTGTCAGCCAGGATCTTAAAAACAGAATTTTGTTAAAAATTTTCATTCCTGGAAAATAATCATATATTTTCCATATACACCTATCTAGCTCGCTATAAGCACAAATTCTTCAAACCAGTCGCAGAAGACCCATTAAAAATGAATTATAATAGTATAATAACAGATTGGCGCTTACACATATGTATGTTAGTATTTGGCCGAGCTTCTCCTCCGATTTGTGGCGTGCGCGGTGATGTTGTCACACAAAGCGGAGGGACCTACAGTTTTACGCCGAATCTGAACGGCGATTGTATTTTTATGAAAAGCTGTTTTTCATGGCAGAAATACACTTGGAGGTTTGCCATTGCCTGCCGAGGGACGACCGCTGTTAAGAAAAAACCTTTTTTCTATATTTTTTCCCGATGTTGCTTTGACCAGGGCTTGAAGCCAGTGGGTGGGGAGTGGAAGCGCGCACTGCTTACCACTACACCACAGCGGCCGATAAATGAATTACAAAAACTAAAATCGAAAAACGCTGATGACGTTACAAGTTCCCCAAATTCTGAAGCTGCATCCGCATTCGCATCCGCGCATGTCTAAAATTTCACATTCGCAACATCCCTAATATGTGTGTATATCGCATCAGCATACATGCGAGTACATATGTAGTACATGTGTGCATTGTTATGACCAGACACAATTATAGAGGGCAGCATTACTTACTGTCATTCGTTAGCCGAGAGGAATGTTAGTTGCAGAAAAAGTAGCTTCGAACGTACAGCTGAAAGCGCAAAACAGCCAATAGCTGACAAACAGAGAATGACTGACAAATTTCCAGTGCAACCATGAAGCGAGTCGTATTAAAAAGACCTACGCAAAGAGAAGTGAAATAATAAAAAAATCGAGTTTTTGGCAACAGTGTGCCTTTTGGTTTTTGTCACATTTAAGTAAGACAAATTATTTTTTACGCCAAACCTTTGGAGCGAGCAGGTGCCCGGTGACATCACACATATCACTCATTTATTTCGCAAGTGTCATAACTAAAAAAATGCTTAAAACTCGAGATAAACTGCTGTAAAGTTGTAAATTTACATATATGTACTCCCAAAGGAAAAATGAATTATTATATTATAATTTCTGTATTTTTTGAATTATGATATTGTTGAAGTTAATTAGCGATGTGTATGTGGTTGGTGGCCGTGATGTACCCACGCTAGTAACATCTCAAAGTAAGAACAGAAAAGGGTTCAAAAATATATGTATGCATGTATGTATGTATAGTGAACTCATTTTTATAGATATACATTAATGTGTATGTATGTATGTGTGCGGTTTACGCCACGTTAGTAAAATGTCGACTTTTTCGTCACACATGCTTTTATATACATACATATATTTATGATATTTTCTCTGGTTTAATTTCGTAATGCCCGAAAAGTAGCCAATGTTGCCACCGTCTGTTTCCTTCCATATGCTAGGAACACAAAAATTTATACATATAATCCAGATGAATTATTTTCTGAGTTTCGCGAAAAGCTAGAAAATTATGTGTTATTATTATTATTAATTTAACTAAGCACGTCGTTTAACTTTTAAGGTACAAAATTACTTACCGGAAAATCTCCTGCTTTGGAACTGAAACCGGACAAAAATTTTTTATATCTTTGAAGGTCTTTGGCAGTACTTGGAATTGACCCGAAACATTCCAGTTTTGCGATAAATTTCAGTGATTCAGTGATACATATCTATAGTTCAATGAATTTCAAAAATACTAAAATCCAATAACTCAATAAAACTCGATAACTCGAC